GTTTGGGTGCTGAAAGGCTTTACTCACCTGTGAACTGGTAAGACTTTGAAGATCAAACTGATGCTCAAGAACCTAGATCGGCTTACGATCTTAAGTAGCTTTATAGCTCTTAAAATGACTTATGCCGTATAAAACTCAGTTGGACTAGAAGAGGAGCCTGACTTGCTACCTGGTTGGGATCTACCTGGGAAAGATGGGGCAGGGGAAGAGCTGGCTGGAAGTCTTTATCCCAGCTGCAATTACTGGAAGGCCTCCACTCAGTCTTGCCTGCTAGCAGACTGCAGAAGATGCAAATTCAAACCAGGTATAGGCTGAACAGGCAGTTGAATCTTAACAGTCAGCCTTGAAGTAGGAGATTGAATCTTCTTGCTATGACTTCAAAACAGGAAGGGCAACAAATTCTTCTCCTCATCTTCCTCTTTTGTTTGCTGAATGAAGTGCTGGACTTATCCTGGGCTTGCCAGAAATACGGGCTGTGGTGCACAAGTTTGGCATCTCTGTGCTTTAACAGGACGCAAAAGCAGGATGTCCGAGATAGTGAAGGTGCCTGTGCAGCAGCAGAGCTCTAATTTGATTAGGCATAGATTTTGTGGATTGGTTATTTAGGTAGCTTCATTCAAAGTATTGTTTGGTTATTGACCTCGGGTAGCCTCTGTGTTCTTCCAATCTAAGGCATCAGTGGTAACCTTTCAGTTTAGAATTTAACTCTTTGTATGAAACGCTACTGAATATGCAGCTTAGTTTCTTCAAAGACCAGGTTTGGTATTCAGTCGTATGTGAGCTCGGTTTGCTTTCTTTAGGGAAAGAAGGATATGACTTTTTCATGTATAAACAAACTGTTCTACTAGACCTATATGTGGGAAAAGCAGCTTCTCTGCAACACTACCATAACATCTTATCCTTGCCTAGCTACCAACTAGGTAGAAGAGCTTTAATACTCTATTGCCTTTCTTAAATTGCTGCTAGAGCCTTGGGCTAAGGTGGAAGCTGCAGACCTGGGTAGCGGGTGGTATCTGAAGAAGGAATGATGGCTGGGACTAGGCAGGCAAGTAATCTGGTTAGCAGTGTTTGTTCAGACTTAACAGCTTTTCTAGCTGTGCAGGAAGTTCCCTCCCATATGATTCATGCCGTGCACTGTCTGTGCTGACTGTTAATGCTAAATAGTTACCTGGGAAAGCTTTAAGCACACTCTGTAACCTTAAAAAAGATGACAACATGATTCATGGTGGTAGTTGTGATGGTGCTGTCTTGGTGAGGCTTGCTGAGCCTTCCTGAGCCACTCTGTGACATTCAGTTGAACTTGTCAGTAATTGCTTCAAGCATCCTTGACAGAAATTGTCTACCTTCATGCCAAGCTCTCAAACACTAGCTTCTAAAATGGCATAGATTTGGCTTGAATACCAACCTTTTAGTTATCCTGAGTTAAGGGCAAATGAGTACTTGTTCTGGAGCAGCAAAGTCTTCAGTTTTTATCTCTTGGCATAGTGAGCAAAACCCCACTGCTACTTGTCTCTGGAGCAGGTGCATCCTTGGGCTGCAGGATCTCCTCAGGTACTGGCTTGCAGCTGATATGTGCAGTAAGAGCCAAATAGCAACTGCATTTGCTGTGCAGGGCAAAGAGACTTGAGCGTGCACAGTAACTACTGTAAGCCATGTAACAGGAGTCTAAACTCAAGCCTCAGCTCTAAAATGTGTCTTGCACTGGGGGGGCAGGGAACATCTAGCAGGGTATGGCTCTACAGCCTTGCGCCAGCTGCATGTGCTGTGCCTTACTGTGAAGACTGAGGAGGTGGAAGGCCACGCAGTGGGCTGTTTTGGTCATAGGAGAGTCCCTGAGAAAGGCCTGATACTGAGCCTGTTTTCATAGTGTAGAGAAGTCATTCCTGGCATTGCCTGACGGTGTTCAGACTGCTGAGAGCTGTTAAACTTGTCAGAAACCTTCACGCTGCAGCACAAAACCTTTCTGGTTCTGTGGCTGCTGTCTGTCATCCCCATCCTGCTTTGTTTCCTTGGGGCCATCACTTTAATTTTGAAAGTCCCTTGGAGAGGAATTAATTCCTCCTCCAAACGCCCCACACTAACAGCTCACAGGGCCTGTCTTCCTCAGACCACTTTGAGTGGTGCAGGGTCAGTGCTGCCTTGCTCAGCCCTCAGTTCCTGGGCATGCTAAGGAGCTACTGGGGAAGAGGCAGACAAACTGACCGTCAGGGCTGGCAGGAGAATACTTGTCTTCCCTGGCTGAAGTGGATGAGTTAGGGGTGACAGATAGCCTAGAAGTTGTCCTACAGCAGGTGTGGAAGGGTAGACTACTATATTGGCTTGTACTTCAGGGTGAAGACCATCAAACTTCCCCAGGCGGATGAAGAAGCAGCTTGTTTGGCAAGACAGCTTCCTTCATCACCAGGTAGGATGTGTAGCTGAGAATGAGTGAGGAGTGATGCTCCCATGAACTCCTGCAGGTAATAGAGCAGGAGGCTGATGTGTTTAGGCAGCTGGTTTGGGAGGTGCTATAGCAACCCAGCTGTATGGTCACTAGAACCTAGAAGGTAGTTTAAAGTAGGGCATGCTTGCATGTCCCTCCCTTGGCAGTGATCTTAGGACAGTACTATTACAAAGAACTAGAAAATTGTCTTGGGTGACTTCTAGGCTCCTTCTCAGGCTGTGGATAAGCCAGGGCAAAAGCAGATTTCAGCTTCTCATGTGGAGGCTCAGATTTGTAACTCGGTAAACCTTCCCTGCAAGCCAAAGGTATGTTCTGGCCGTGGGTAGTGGCCTGTGCTTGTCTCTCCGACTAAACTGAAGAGGTGCTGGAGAGTTTGGCCCATACACACTTACATCTGTAGCAGTGACAGGCCAGATCAGTGGTCTTAGACTGGCAATCCAGATGTCTCTAGGGGCATGAAACTAACTTTTTCACAATAAAGGTGCAGGAGGAGTATCAATTTTTTATTTGAATAGATGGTATGGGGTAAAACTGAACGTGGAGTTTCCTGTAAATGACAAGGATGTGTTGACTCCAGTAAATGCTCTTGGCCAGGATATAGTATTCCTGATTGTTAGCAGGGATGAACAGATCTTCATGTGTTCTTTTTCCTAACATAGCAACATTCAGTTGTTACAGCTTGCTAGCACCGGCTGGTGTTACACTGAGTGGTTATTAGGGGTTGGGAAAAAATCCTAGGGGGTAGCCTCAACTTCACTCTCGTTTTCTGTCTGGAGAGCGAGGTAGAAAAGACACAGATCTTCCAGTGTTCCACATCTGGTAGCTTGTCATGTTGCCTAATCCAATTAGTCCAACTAGTGCCTCAGCCTTTAGTGGAGAGGGCAGTCCCTGTCTGCCCACTTACACAAGGGAAGGCTGCAGAGCAGCATCGGTAGCTGTTCTGTCGGTGTGCTTGGGTAACAGAGTATGGTATTACTGTAGCTGCGCTGTAGTTCTCTCCTGTCTCTGGGTACTTTAACTAGAACCTGTGACCAGAGTTTTGACCTTTGTCATGTGAACTTTGCAGTATTTCTGGCAGATCCCACAGATAGGTGTCAGAAATGCAGAGGGGCATTATATTTTCTTTTCTTCTTGGGGTTTGGAAAATAGCAGAGACCTGTGTTTCAGGCTCCAACACTCTCATTGTTATGAGCCTGCAGGTGGTCTGCACCAGAAGCCAATGTAGGTCTGCAGCCTCCAGGAACTGGTCTTTAATTAGCTGGAAGGTCTGTTCCTGTGCCCACTGACTGCAGTGGAAACTTGAGAATAAAGTGAACTGCTTCTGGTATCTCCAGGGAATACGTCTCCCAGGCTTGACTGGGCTATGCTGCAAGGCTCCTTCACTTCTACAGCTTTGAGCAGGGGCTGGTGCGATGACTCTGATCGGCTCTGTCTTAAAGCAGCACTCCTGTGGTGGGAGGAAAGATTATCTTCCATTTGAGCATAATCCTCCATGGGTAGGCTGCAGAGAAGAGCCCAGGTGAAGGTGTGAGGTTACTCAGCTGTGAGGGTGATCTACACTGCTAGTAAGCTTCAGTTTTCAGTGAAAGAAGCTGGCATTGAAAGGAAAAAAAAAAGGCAGTGAAGTGCTGCAAAACTGCACGAATGCCTCTTTTAGCTAAGAAGCTTCTGCTTCCCAGGGATAACTCTTACACCCCCAGCATGAAATCAGGCGGTTTATGTAAGCTGATCTTTCTTTATGGTATATGTGTCAAAACATAAATGCATTTCATCAGGAGGATGCATTCCAGTGTTGCCAGTTCCTGGCATAACCGACTGCTCTAAACGACGTAGGCTGAAGCACCAAGGACGTAGGGCAGTGCATATCAATCTTTTTAAAAACAAAACTAACAAACCAACCTCACCTCATACCCAGATACATTTAGCCTCATGGGCAAAAATTATAATGCACATTAGAATATTTATGAAAAAAATGAGGTGGTACAGCCTTCAGAGACGAGTGCCGCTTTCTCCCGCAGTGTGGTAGGTACCTGGGCAGCAGAGACTCAGTTCTGGCTACTAGTTATTACACTGGTGGAAGCAGCTGAAGAAATAGTTACGCATGCAGAATTTTCCATTAATCAGAGAAAAAAGTCCTACACAGATGGTATGTAGGGTAGATTACGGCTAGTAATCCTTTTGTGTCCTAGAAGATTAAGGATATCCTGGTGTAGCTGCAGTCAGATGACCTTTTTTTATTTAAATGGTAGAAAATTCTTGATGTGACTCTGCAGAGGACCAAGGCACTCCCAGGAGCCGAGAGCTGTGCACTGTGGATGTTTGTTAAAGGAACGGTCTGTTTAAGTCCAGCCCCAGTTATAAATTGACAGGAACTTAGCTCTGTGCCATGTAAACAGCAGCAGCTACAAGCTGGCCAGGCGATGCCTGGCTGCGCGGCTCTGTCGGCTCTAACAGGGGCAGGAGCTGGATGCTAGGAGGAGGCACAGCGAGCGTGGAGCGAAGGAGCAGGGGGGTTCTGAGGAGGCGAGGAGGATGAGCGCCGCGGCGGGAGCGGAGGATGGCTGCGCGCTCGGAGCCTCCTGGCATGGAGCTCTGTGAGGATTACAAATCCCCCTTCGATTTCAACACTGGAGTGAACAGGAACTACCTTTACCTGTCGCCTAGCATAAACCTTTCTCCACCCGGATCACCTACACTGGCAAAGTCTGGTAACTTCCTTCTCTTCCTTTTTCAAAACCTCTACATGAAAACCTTAGTCATTAGTATTTGTAAAAAGGGACTTCTCAGATTAAGAATCCATAAAATTTGTCTGAAATGCAGGTGTACATGAAGGTCAAAGTTGACCTGCTGTTGGCTCTGGTAGTTTATTAGTTTTGGTGTATCATACAAGTAATAGCTCATGTGCTGTGCATTTACCAGCTTTACCTTATTTGTTATTTCCTAATTCAGTAGAAAGACAGCTTGAGGGGAAAATGAAGTGAGCAAAAAAATTAGGAACACAAGGGCAACTTCTGCAAGATTGAAGTAATTTGCCTAATTTGACTATTAGCTTTTTTGGGGGGGAGGTAGGTTTGTATACCAAGTTTGACTTCAGAGCTCTGGATAGTCTACCATCTGCTTTTGCCTTGGTGCTGAAAATATCACCGATTACTGAAAATATCACCGATTAATGAAAAATCCTTCTAACACCTTTACCCTGCTGCATTTTAGCATTTAAAATGCTGCAAATATTATGCCTGCAGACACTAACCATAGTCACACTGCCCTGAGGCAGCAGCTGTTGCGCGCTGTGCTCAGCAGTATCCATTTGGTGCTTAACCCTACCAGTTTCAAGGTGGTAGCCAGTTGTGCAGAACACCAACACCTGCCTCCCAAAACATCCTAGTCTGGTTTTAACACCTTTCCATTCCATTCGGTTCTACTGGACGCCATCTTTCAGAGTAATTAAAAATATAGAAAGCTTAGCTTCACACTTCAGGTGTGACAAAGCAAAGTTACAAAGGTGGTGACTTTTTTATTGATGGGCTTCTTCTTTAAAATCTTAGAGAATTATGCATCCCTTGGGGAGCGTCTGTGAACTAAACCAGAGATGAGCTAGGGGCCTCTGGCAGCTGTGATAGGCTTTCAATTCTGCAGTGATTAACTTCTACCTCTTCCAGAGGAGGAGGAGTAGTCCTTTGTATCTGGTGGTGATGCATCAACATAAGCACCAAACTTTTCTGGGCTTTTATTTCTTTTACATTCACTTTGAATGAATATATGATTAGTGTTTGGGAGAAGCCCAAGAACTTTCTCCTCAAGTTGAATAAATATGTCTTGCTTTGGCTTTTTCATTGAGATAAATGGGAAGCACTTAAATTTGATCTTATATATTGCAAAAGAAATATCCTCTGTAGTACTGTACATTACTCAGATGCTGGAATGATTTTATAATCTTGTAACAGCTTGTTCTCCTGCACTCTAATAAAGTGCCATTTTTCTTTAGCTTTGCTAACCGTCTAGTTGTAGCCAAAATGTTCGTTCTTGATGTTTGACAGAAGAATATGTCCATCTAAAGATAAAGATCTGTGAAGGCTAACTCTCCCCTGCCCCAAAAGCTGCTCATCTGAAATGACCACAACTTCCTTAAACTGCTAATCTCTGAATTCAGGCCAGAAAGAGGTAGGAGGTTCTGGTCAAAAAAGAACATGAACTTGGGTTGAAACCAACCAAAGCAAACCCTGAACCAGAAAACCTGAGCATAAATTGAGTGACTAATGCTTTGGGTACTCCGGCAGAATAATGGGAGCTTAAGTGCTGTTTCCCTGACGTGGCCTGTGGAGTCCTATCAACTAAGTTGTTCATGTCTTTATTTGGTTCATTTAAGTAGATCTGATAAACTGCTCGAATAACATGTTAATCTTAGAAATACAGACACCTGAACTGACCTTACAACTAGGTAACTTTTTCCCAGTATTAGACAAGTCTTCGCAATTTTTTTTTTCCAAACGGAGTTTTTATTCTGAGACATGAAATGCTCAGCTGAACTTTGTTACAGCCATCAGAGCACCACATGACTGAATTTTAAGCCCTCTGCAACGCTAAAGATGCAAGATAACTAATGTGGTGGAAGGTGAAAAATTGGAAGCAAATAACAGTTCTGTTGGCGAACACAGAAGACCACAAGTGAGAAATGCTCTCTTAATAACAGTCTGAGCTGAAGTATTTCCATCTGTTGGCTGACTGCTATTTCCCCGATTCCTTACCCTGCACCCCACAAAAATATCCAAGGTGGGCTGTGCACCTTTCCTTACGAAGCGTGCTCAAAGCCAGGGTCTTACTGTCTGTCAGCCCTAGTTTACGAGGTATTGAGTCGTGGCCATACCTTTCTGGAGATCTGTGGGTTGTGATCTGTGTAGGCAGCTGTTTCTGGGCTGGCTGCCTAGCACAGCCTTCACACAGCACAGATGAACCGTGTCCTGCAAGCCTTGGGAGCAAACTGAGGAACGGGGGCAAAGGGCGCAGAGAGGTGAACAGTAACCGGATGGGAGAGGAGGTGACGGAATAAAGACTGGTGGGAAGATGCTTTCTTTAGCTCCATTTGAAGTATGCAAAAGTATATAAATGGAAAGGGGGGTCAGGGGTGAGGAGAGGAAGGTGTGATTGGATGTACAGGGTGAGGCATGGAGGACTCCAAGTAGCAGTGATGTCCTGTTTTACTAAAAGATCTAGAAATGCGAAGGGGAGATTATTCCCTTGCTTCTTAGTGTTGTGTTTTAAGTTCAATGTAGGCAACAAGCAGCACAAACTCCCTTAAAACACTACTTTTTCCTAAGAGAAGGTACCTTCCCTAAACAGAAGCTATTGCTGTGTGAGACAATCCAGCATGTTTTCCTGCTGCTGGATTCATTTGATCTATTTTTGGTGAGATAATCCAGATGACCTTTCATACCCAGATTGAGCAGATTTTCAGCTGGATGTGCTAATGCTCTTGGAGTCAGCGTCATCTTTGGTACTTCCAAACTTTCTGAAATGGCTTTTGCAACAGCCAGCTCTGTAGTCTCTGAGGGGCCTGCAGATGGAGAACAAGGTCAGGCATTGGAGGCTTGAGTACTGAGGGTCAAAGGGTGTCAGGGGAAAATGCGTTTAAATTGTTAGCTTTCCTTCATTATAAGTATGTGTAATTAATAGGATAAATAGCTGTTTGATAAAAAGATACTACATTCTTAACCACTGGATGTTGAGAAAAGGAAATAAATTGATGTATAAAAATTTTCTGATTGTGAGACATGAGCTGTAATTTTTTTTTTTTTCTTGGTGCTGTAGTGCTGTGCTTTGGATTGGGCATTAGACTTGGAATGTTTTTCTGCCCTAGATTTATGCCAGAAAATAGTGTATTGGGAAACCTGTAGGAACTACATTATGCTTGTGTAGCAGACAGACATAAATCTCTGGAAAAACGTGGTATGTATGTAATAAATAAATGCAGAATGGGGTTTCAGTTCCTTTCTGTATGCCTCTTTTCAGTGTGTTCCATGGTAGCTTCCCTGTTATAAATGTTCTGCCCATGCAGCTGTGTGTGCTTCTAGAGGACAAGTGCACAAATACAGAAGTACACAAATACATGCAGAAAACATACTGTTTTGGAAATCATTTGTGAAATTGAGCTTTACCCGACTCTGGTAACCTGATCAAGAACAAGGCCTCGTCTTTTCTTAGACCTGACAGCTGCTAGGAGCGTCTTAGAGTACTGACAACTACTTACAGGCTCACAGAATTCTTTTTCCTCTGACTTTTCAGTGGATTGGGACATAGCTATTTGATGTCAAGCTTCACAATGAAATCGTGGTGGTGCTCTCATTGCACGTTAATGAGTTTTTTGACTCCTGGAGCAAATTGTAGTGTGGAGTGCCATCAGAAGATGGAAATGAGGATGGAATTTTATCTGGTGAATTACTATAATGACTAGTAAGGCAACACTCAACTTACCTGAACTACATATTATATACATCCACATACTCTCTCTTTACAAACAAAACAATCTTCCCCCTCCCTTCTATTTTAAGATTATTTCCTTTCTTTTTTATCATCTATAAAGCTCTTTTACCTCTTGAATAGAAAATTAGTTCTGGGAGTCCACAACCTAACAGTTGTGTCTCATGTATTCTCTCTGCAGACTGGTCTCTTTGCAAATGGAACAGGATTGCTTAATTCTGGCAAGCTGTATGTTTGTGTGTCAGCTACAAAGACTCAAAATGAAAAATCTTTTGCTGGAAAACGTTTGTTGCAGTAAAAGGTGTCTAAAGTGATCTTGCTGCAAGCACTATGGACTAAGAATAAATGAACCTTTAAAGTGAGCGTATCATAGTAATACAAATAATACTGTTCTTCCTGTCCCTTAAGCTGTGAAGGTGAAAGTTGAGGAAGACCATAGGGTTGTTTGGGATTCATACAGAGGAGTTTGGCAGAGTTTTGGTTTCTGGATCTGGAAGGGGTGAGAAGCAGCAGTGTGAGTGGATTCACATTCTTCTCGGTCCTTTCTCAGCACTCCATGGCTTTGTCTGAAGTTCTTGAACTCCTTCTCCAGGCTTCTCATCTGTCTTAAATATGTAGGTGCAAAACAGCATCTTACTTCTAGTTCCATGGTATGTGTCACTTTCTAGCCACAGTGGCCTCAGTTACTAGGGGCAGAGAGGCTGAGCAGGGTGTGGGAGAAGAGTTCATACTTGCAGTGCAACCCTTTTCTTCCTTTTTGCTGAGCTTGCTTGTTGCCATGACTGCTCCTAGTGAGACAGGTGGTTTTTAAGCTGATCCAGAGAGTGGTGAGGGAGGGAGCCTCTGCATTGGTCTTGAACACCTTCAGTGCTTCCAGAGCTTCTGTGCCACATGGAGAGAGCACGGAGGGCAGGGGTTGTGTAGAAACCACTGGTTGGGACATAGTGTTCTGTGCCTTGGTTTCTATCAGAGTAGTGGGATGTGTTGCTCTCGACATGTTTCCAGTCACCTGTTACAGCAGCAGTTGCAATTATATTGAACTTTAATACAACTTCATGGAACAGAACAGCTGGTAAAAAAGCCTCTGGTTTCCTGCACACCATAGTACTTGGAGTGTGACTTTGGTGTCCTCTCATCAGTTTTGTTTTTGCACTGGCACAAAAGGGCTGTATATGAACGTTAGCTGCTATCTGGCACACACGTGATGATCTGACTTATGATGATTTATTCACCTCAAGGGCTGCTGAGAAGTGACTCTATACCTGAGGTTGGAGAGGATGCTGCTGCTACAGTTGGTATGGAAGAAACACTCTCAGAAGAAGAACAGGATGAGCTAAGGAAAGAGCTTGCTAAGGTAAATGTCTTGCAAATAACTCTTAAACTGGTTTTGAGAATGAAAATCTGAGATCATGCTGTCTTTGAACATACAGTTAATGCTTTGCACATTTATTCTGAGAGTGTCTAAAGCTGGGTATGGCACTCCTGTGTATTGTGGGGAGGGAAGGGAAACATGTCAAGGAGAAAAGAATAGTTAGTTCTAGCTATGGGGAATTAAGCTACAAATGCTGTGCATATGGATCTTAAAGCAAGGTGCATAAATGCCTAACCTTTTTTTTTTCCTTAAGTGAGAAGGGGTTAATTAGGCTGTCAGAGAGAACATGGTTAGAAGCCAGAACTAAGTATTGTCTCAACTGACATGGAGTAACTAAACCTATTGTTTTTCTGAAGGATTCTTCATAGTAATATCCGAGTAGACACTGTTTTGCTAATGTCTAACCATGTAACTGCTCTTGTCCATAGTTCATATGGAAGATTTTTTTTAAGAGACAGTTAAAGTGGCACTCTTCAAAGGACACTCAAGTATTCAAGCCTGATACATGTATCTCAAAGTTGTCAAAGTCAAGCTTTATTGAGTTACCAGTCTTTTTTTGTTTTGTAGTTCTATTTGACTTTAGGACCCTAATAAAAGACATCAACTTAAGCCTAAGGTTGGCAAACGAAGGTTAGCTGTGAAATAAGCACATTAAATACAGTCTTGGTTTTGGTAGTCCCGAGTATTATTTCATACCAGTCCTATCAGCTGAGGATGGTGAAGAAAATCTGGTCCTGCTAGGGTAGGTGACACTGAACTTCAGACAGTATCCAAAACAAAGGTGTATTGAAGACACCGGTAGGAGCCTCGAAGGAGCTTAGGTGAGTGGGCAGCCTGATACTCCATAAAGTAGGTCCAGTCTGGATGAAGAAGTAGGGTTGGATGTATGCCTCACCTTTGCACAATTGGCCTTGGTGCTTCTGTCACATCTATATATCCTACGGAATGGCATCATAAAACTGTTTTGACATTTGTGATCATGATTTCGTCATGCCTCTGAGAGAGGTTTAAGTGACCATCTGTGCAAAGAAGGAAGTATAAAACTAATACAGTTCTCTAGTTGCTGAACAGCTGCTGTGTTTTTGTTGTTATGGGCTGGGGTTTTTTTCATTGTTGTTTTGGTGGTTTTTTTTTGTTGTTTTTTTCTTTTTAAACTGCTCAATCTGTCACCATTTCCACTCCTGCTCCAAGGGAAGGCACTCCTGTGGCTGAATCCAGCTTGCAGTTGCTGGCTTAAGCCACAAAAGAGCCTTTCTGTTCAAGCAAGGAGAGAAAACTTGTGTATGGATCAGACATGGTCTGAGCTTCCTGATGTGGCAGGAGAATACAGGCTTGGCAGTTGTCCCAGGTTTGACTAATCTTCAAGCTTCATATAGACTAACGTTGTCTAAAGGTAATGATCTCTAACTGTACAGTTTTATTTACACACTTCCTTGTGCATGTTCCAGTAACAGAGCTAGCAGCACGTAGCTTACTTTCTTACTAGCTTGTGATGTAGAATACGGTGGATTTCCATTTTAGTTTTCAGAAACAACTGTGAAGCAATGTTAAAAACTGTGTTAGCCCTCCCATTACTGATGCCTAGTAGATGTTTTAATAAATACATGGCTAAATGGCTGAGTATATCACTTGTTAACACTCATCAACTCTGCTGCCACAGGTGGAAGAGGAAATCCAGACGCTCTCACAAGTGCTAGCTGCCAAAGAGAAGCATCTAGCAGAGATCAAGAGGAAGCTGGGAATTAACTCGCTGCAGGAACTAAGGCAGAACATTACCAAAAGCTGGCAAGATGTTACATCAACCACAGCGTATGTACCAGTTCATGGTGCTTGTCTCAGCTGTTGAGGTGAAAACCATGTAGTTCATGCCACATCTAAACTCTCCGTTCTTGTATAATGAGATGAGTGTAGATAACACAAAGCTAAGTTGCACTAAAACTTACCTGGATTAATCATCATAGATTTCTTTAAAGAAGGCCACTGTTACCCATATCATTTCATGCAAAATAAGAATGATTGACCATAATACGGGCAATTCTAATATACTTTTTGACTGACATATCTGAGATTCTGTTACTGAGATACCAAGGTGTCCTAAGTCCAACAGAATATCCTTTTCCAGCCTGAAAAATTGTTGTAAGCCGAGCTCATGGAGGAAGAGTTCAAAGTCACAGTTAATGTTCTTGCCAAACACCAAACATAACTGTTAGTTTATGGTATACAGGGAACTGCCTTCTGCAATGAATGACTACACAGAATGCAAGAGGATGTACCTCAGGGTTGCCATGAAGAAGATCAGAGGGCTGGAACACCTCTCATATGAGGACAGGCTGAGAGAGTTCGTGATGTTCAGCCTGGAGAAGCAGAGGCTCCAGGGACACCTTATTGTGGCCTTCCAGTCTCTGAAAGGGGCCTACAAGACAGCTGGGCCGGGACTTTTTGTAGGGGCTTGTAGTGATAGGACAGGCGGTAATGGATTCAAACTGGAAGATGGTAGATTGAGATTAGGTGTAAGGAAAAAGCTCTTCCTTATGAGGGTGGTGAGACACTGGAACAGGTTGCCCAGGGGAAGCTGTGGATGCTCCATCACTGGATGTGTTCAAGACTAGGTTGGGCAGGGCTTTGAGCTAGTGGGAGTTGTCCCTGCCCATGGCAGTCGGGGTTAGAACTAGATGATCTTTGAAGGTCCTTCCAACCTAAACCATTCTATGAGTGAAACTTGTTATTGTGAAGTTCATTAACAAAACCATTTGGCTGTAAGATTTTAGACACTAGGCATAAAAACAGACCTCTGTTCTTTTTCAATGTGTGTGCATAGTGTTGTTCTCTTGGGGTTTTCTGTGGTGGGATATTTTTTTGCTGTGATTTCTTTTAATCCTACAATAGCAGAGAGCATCTCTTCTGGATAAGGGGTAGCAGATGCATGCTGTTGAACCTCATCTGAAGTCTGAGGTGGCCGAGATACTGTAGCCAGAAGGGAATGCAGTGGCTCAAAATAATCTCTTAAGTTGTTTTTCCATTTGACCCCAAAGCTGAAATATACCTTTATGTTTCATAGAAATTTATGGACACTAAAAGTTTCCTTATGTAGTCTAGTAAAATAACTACAGACTTAATTTTGTTTCAACACAGGTACAAGAAAACATCAGAAACCCTATCTCAGGCTAGTCAGAAAGCTTCTGCTGCTTTTTCATCTGTTGGTTCAGTCATAACCAAGAAGTTTGAAGATGTCAGGTAAATTTCTTTAGCTGTTCCAAGTAGTTGCATTTTTGATTTAAGCAGTTCACTGAATTAAATTTACGCTGTTAGTGTATGTAGCACTTCTAAAAGTTAATCTATCAAGAACCCTCAGCATCTGTTTTAGGAGAGCTGAGCAACTTGCTGCAAAATGTGCTTGTATGTCCTCACTGATGCAGAAGAGTTCTGTGGTGTATATTTTATATATGCAAGAGAAGCAGTGTATGCTGTTACCTCCACTGCTGCTGGTATGTTTCTGGTAGGGTTGCAGGTGGCATTTTCTGCCTGCCTCTGTAGTGCACATGGCATTGTCAGTTCTGTTCTCTGACTTTCTCAGCTTGTGGAATACTACATTTAAATGATGTCTTTCACTGTTTGTGGTTTGGTCTTGTTTTGTTTCTGTTGTGTGTGTTTTTTAGTGATTTTTTTTTTTTTTGGTCTTGTGTCTGGATTCCTTTCAGGTCTGTTTTATTTCTTTGTAAGCTGTTCTACCTCATAGCAGTGGCTTGATTTTATTATGTTTTTAATGGACAATTGGCACTTTTAAATTCTTAAATGGGTAAGTTCAGTGATCGTTTTTAGCACTATTGTGAGCTGCATGGAAAACTCTTCCTTGGATGCAGTCCAGTCATATGCTTAGCTTACAATTCTTTGATTACATAATTTTTACTACTGGAACATACAGCTCCTCATTTCTGCTTGTAATTTGTTGTGACTAGTGGATCCAACTTATTTTTCAATTATTGGATAAATAAAAATTCACACATTCTAATAGAATATTGCTGCATTGGAAAGCAGTGTAATAAAATCAGCCCTGTTTTCAAGTGCTGCCATTAACCTCTTTCTTGCTTTTTGAAATGTAGTGAGAAAACACTTTGAAGGTGCAGCTACACAGTTACATATTTTTCTTCAGATTTATCAGAACTTCCTTTCTCTTTTTAATGCTTGCTCTGGCATTGTGCAGACTACAGGCATTTTCACATTCCTTTAGGTAAGGTGGGCGCAAGGATTGTTTCTGAAACTTAAGCATGTAGTCAGACTGTCTCCTTTAAAACTTTTAAATAAGTTTGGTCTGTAAAAGGTAATTTCTTTTTTTCTCTGCTGTTAGTTAACATAAGCTCTTTTAATGTCAGGGAAGATGTTTCTTCAAGGTCCACCTGGTAAATATCCCAGAGCAGATAATTTTGAGAATACATAACCAATCAGTTTCTCTTCCTTGTAAGAAAGTAAGAAATCTGTTAAAATGATTCCACAAGTTTTTTTGTAAAGATATGGAATATGGCTTTGAGGTCAATGGCATGCAGAATTCCTCCTCCTCCTTGTCTGTACAGTGTTTGTGCCTTGACAGAGTATAAATTTTCCCTTCTTCATGTCTATTACAATGGCTGTTTAGCATTGTGACCCTAATCAAATCACTAGAGTCTAAATGTAAAATAGTTTATGCATGCTCTGTTCACAGTTTGTCCAGTTAAACGATACTTACCTTTGAGTTGATTATTTCAGCAGCTCCAGACACCGAGTCTTTTAGTCACCTTGTCTGCATTGCCTTTTATCTGCCTTGTCTAAACAAATACAATTTCCTCAAGTGTAAGAATAGCAGCCTGTCTGAAACATCTCCCCTTCAGCACTGGGAAGACAGAGGGAGCCTGGAAGATGTCTCTGTACTTGGATGCAGAGATTGACTGCTTGCTTAACAAGGTTTACCTTTCTTCCTTAAGGCTATGGTGTTGCCCCACTAGTATTAGACTATTGCCTTTGACAAGGGCAAGCACAGACTTATAGGTCTCTTCTGGCTTCAGGAATTTAATACTTCAAAAGAAGAGTGTCCTAATTACTCAGGTTAGTGGCTAGGTGGGTGTTGAGTACTCTGTCAGAAACTGGGCCACTGGGAGGAAATGTAACAGGGCCAGAGGAGTCCACACTGTTGGTGTGCTTCTTGGGGAGAATCATGGCAATGAATATTTGAGGTATTGTTACAAATTCAGGAGCAGCTAGGTTTAAAAACAAAACAAAACAAAAAGAAAAAAAAAAAGAGGGACGAGTTAGTGCCGTTCAAGATCTTAGCTACACTTAAACGGGAGATTAAAAACCTTTGAGGTCTTTTTTCTTTCCTGAGGACCAAGTTCATCTTGGCTTCAACCAATGAATTCATGTCCTGGGATTATGTGAGTACTCAAGTGATGTCTACTTTTAAGACTGCACAAATCTGAACTTTAGATTTAGACACCCAAGTTCTTTCCTGGAAATGAGACCTGATGGGCCAGATAATTACTTACTTACTTGAATAAATACCAGACATGCAGGTACATTTTTATTCCTAAACTTTCATCTGGCTGCTTCATCATGGCTTTGCTTTTCTTTTACTGTTTCAGCTTAGGGACTTCTCAGATGCAAGGGCTTAATTTCTTCTGTGTTGGACTATTTCCACATGTTCTATGCAGCAAACATCGACATGCAGGTCTTCATTCTTGCACTGCAAAGTGATTTTGGAGGTAGTTGTGGAAGGGAGTAAGGCAGTGGGTGAAGCTGTGAACTTGGAAAGTGATGGAAGAGAGGAAGAGGGAGGACTGGTGATGCAAAGCCAGTGCATTGCTTTCTGATTGTTTTCTCTGGTTTTTCTTATGCTAAAAATGCACTCTGTTCCTTTCTAGGTTGGTTGTAATCTGATATGGTCATGGACTCCTAAATAGCATAATTTATATCATCTGGAAACTTAACTATTAAAAAAAGCAAATAACTAGTGCTTATGCAGTCTTCAGCCTGTATTTTTCAGGCAGGGACTATGGCATACCTCCTTGTGCACTTTCAAAATGTGAGGCAATGTAATAGCTATAAAATTAATCACATAAAGGATAAGAAAGCTTTTAATGCAATACAAAATACATGAAAGGCTGGAGAGCAAATTATTGTGCCTTTTTGGGGTTTTTATATATATTTTTTTGTTTTGTTTAAGCTGGGGGTTTGCTTGTGAGCATTGTAGAAAGGGCTTCTCTTCTTCAAACTGCCCAACTTGATGGCCTAGTTAAGAGAGTGCTTTGATGTGGCGTTCTCTCATTTCTAAGAAGAAATACAAGTTCTTTGCTTTGTAAAGCTTGTCAAAGCTTAATTGTACTTCTTAGCACTACTTGAAGAACAGGTGATTTGATGTTAGGAAAAGATCAAATGAATTTATCTAATCCAGTTTTCCTGCAAACAAGATTATTCTGTGATAAAACTATATACTGTCATACAGTGACATTTTTCAAAATAGATACTGAGTATGTGTAAGTGTATTGTACAACAGCAAGTATATCCTTCATGAATGTACAAGTACTTCTCCTGTTAGTTCCTAGTAGTTCTTCTGATCTGTATGAGACTAAACGAAATTTCCCCAGACATCTATTAAAAGATCTGCAGTAGGCTGTTGCTTTTCAGTGTGAGCAGGTCTACAGGCTCTAAATATATGTGGAAAAGAAGGGAACTTGAATGCTCTTTTAGCCTTAAACTTACAGGGAGGCATCTGCAGAGGGAAGGGCAGTGGCAGAGCATGACTGAACAAAGAGAACTAGTTAGTATCAGCCTATTTCTGTCCTAAAACTCAGTATATAGTAAGGTCAGAACTTCTATTAATACGCATCACAGCAAGGAATATAAATTACACTCTGGAAGACCATCAGTTTCTATGTGCTCTGGAAAAGCTTGTGGAAGCCAAATTTTCTATGAAGAAATGGAGTTGAGGAAAGGGATAAACATAGCCATGTATTACTGGTGTGTGTCAGGACAGCATCTGGTCTTTGCTTATCTGATTCCCAGTGCACTGTAACTACAAACCAACACTCAGCTGTGCATCTGCCTCAATGGATCACAACCTTAAAGGAATTTTTTGTGTGTAGGATTTTCTTCTGTCCTTGTGTTCTACTGATGAGCTTTCCAAAAGAATCTCCTAAAACTCGTTCTGCAACGAACAGAGAACATTTTTGCTTCTGCGACTGTATCTGACATTGTGCTGAAGTACTAGTGGGAGTTTTGGAGGTGTATCAAATGAGAGGTTCCAATCCCAGCCGTTGTCTGGAAAGTCTTCTCTTGAAAGACGCCATAAAGCCCAGTGAAAAATTGACGTGCCAAGTATAGTTATGAAAACCTGTGATCATCTGTTTTTCTAACTTACAATTATGGTATCTGACAATAATTATTTAATGTATAAGACCGATTTGTATCAAGAATAAACAGGAATTTTCTAGAATATGGAATGAAAGTAGATGCTGGATGGTCTTGAAGTTATTTCAGAGCTCCTTAATCGATACCCAGGTGCCTTTTAGGAGTAGAAGTGTGTTGCTGCATAACAAACAGTAACTGTATAGCAACACTGTTAGGCTACAGAAATCTTCCACGAATTTCAGAAGTTTGAGACTATGACTTTCTCCCTGCCCCAGCATAAACCTGACTGTGAATACAGATTGCTGTGACTGCTCTCGCTAGCTGTTTTATATGGACGAGTTGATAATTTGTATTGATGAGACTGGAAATCTCACACTGAATTGAAATGGAAGCCTTCTGAATGCAGGAATAATTCTTTCAGTAGGAAGATTATTTAATTGATAAGACTCTTGAGTATTCATTTTTTGCTTGATGTTGTCAAAACTGTCAATGCAGCATGAGTCTCTGATTGCTCGAGAAACTTCCTGAGTAGACAGACTGTTGCAGCTAAGCAGAGTCTGTACTAACAAGCATGGCACTGGAATCTTTCTAAAAAGGAAGAAAGGTGTTGCAGCTTTTGCTCTGATGTACTTGTATGTGTGCATGGCTAAGCAATTTGAAAAAGCAAACCCAAGCAGTTCCTATGTAAGACTGTATAAGGCCGTTTGGCTGTTTACCAACAATGGTGTCCAGAAGTCAGCTCTCTAAGCCGATTTCTTCTTGGTCTATCACTTGAACTAACTTCTTGCTTTCTTTTTTCTTAATGCTGCCATTTAGTATACGCTCCATACAACATTCAATTAGCATGCCAATTATGAGGTAATGTATGCATAACACAGCGGTTGAGTTTATTTTCATATGAGGAATCAAATCAGATTGATCTTAGGTCAACTAACACAGATTTAAACAAACCCAAAAACCCCACCCAACTTTGTGATGGATTTCCTGTACTAAGATATAGGATAAAATTTGGTTTATTTCTGCTTAAGGGTGGTGTGGTTATCCCATGTTTGGAATGTAACCACATGCATTTGCCTGGTGTTTTGGAGAGAGAACTGTAACAACTTTTCCCTGTCTGTTAGAAATGTAATGTTATGAAATGATTCCAAGTTATAAAGGCAATAGCTTGGCATCTGTTTTAGTACAATGAAAGTGAGTAAAACCCACTGTTTTCATAAAAAGTCTCTTGCTGACTGGGAGTGCTTGCCTCTTCTCTCCCCTTGCCTGGCACTGTGTTCCTCTGTCTCCTGAGAGACCTCTGGTTGGATATAGATAATTACACACGTCAGCATCTGCTTTCCTAAGTGAAAGTATGCTGCTAAGTGTGGGTGACCTACACAAATACCACGCAAAGGGGGAAGGGAAGCTTAAGGCCTTTTGAGAAAACCTGCCTGTCTTCCAGTTTTATATAATTTTTTTTTTTTTTTAAGTCTTGGTCCCAGTCCACTGAAGGCAAGCATTTTCCATCCTGCATAGAGGTGGAGAAGGTGTACAAGCCTCTTGCACAAATCTGCAAATGGCAGTGACAGCCAGTTGGAGCATTAAGCCGTTCTTCTGACCCTTATAAATAATACACTGGCCCTCAGCATGGAAAACCCCAAGGTGTCCTACTCTTCATGTGCACAACTTACCGTTTGTAATCACAGCTGTCTCCAGCACCTAGAAGGGAAGGGGGAGCCTCCCTTAAATTTAACAAGTTAGCAGAAAATGCCATCAGGAACCGTGGTTTTTTTTTATTGGACATGTTAGCCTATTTAATTAAGCTAGTTTTCCTACAAGAAGTGAAAAAACTCTGATGAGCTTTCTTCAGCAATAGCAATTTCTTCTGTGCTAGCTAGAAGTGGTGACTAAATTTTCCTTTTTTTCCTTTTTTAAGCCAGAAACCTGTTTGAAATCACTGGGAATAATAAGCTAAACCTAAAATACTTGCTAGTTGTCCCTGTGATGTTGTGATGAAAGATCCTGTCACTGATCCTGGCAATATTTAGTTGTCAAAGATACAAATGATCTGCAACATGAGTGTATTTGAATTTTAGTTTTGTAGTACTTGGGGAGATTGAGATCTAAACTATTTTTAGGCTACCCTTAAAACAAGGAAAGAGCTCCAAACAAAGCTTACACTGACAATGGAAAAAGAACTGTCTGCTTGTTCTCTGATGTTTATAGACTAATGAGATCTGGTTTTAATTCTGTAATTCCTTTATTTTCCTAGAAATTCTCCGACTTTCAAATCCTTTGAGGAAAAAGTTGAAAACTTAAAGGTAAGCATTACTAAAACACCGTGGTGATTATGGAGCTGTGGATGTGGAGAAGAGACTCAAGTGGACTTTGGGAAGCCTGTTTTTTAGTTATTGGTAAACTGTTGAAGGTGCTTAAGACGACATCTTCTTAAGTACTGTGCAGATGGTTTCTCTGCCTAATGATTTGAGGATAAAAATGAGCTTCCTGCACATCTTATGGGAGGATTCATTTAACTAGAAGGTGTAACAGCTAGCTAACCTGCACAAGTAGCTAGTATAACATGCCTAGTAGTATGTATTCAAAATGGTCTACACTTCTATTTCCATGCCTTCTGAAGGACTAGTATCCTACACAGGAGAATAGCTTGAGAAGTTTCCCTCATTTCTGGCATAAAATACAAAAGGCCTTTTGCACCTTAATTTAAAATTTACTCACAAAAGCCTCAAGTGCCAGAAATAACCATTAATGGCTTTTCCAGGTGGTAAAAAAAAAAAACAAACCACAACTTGAAAATGAATACTACATGTAACTGGTACCAGATTTGATTGTTCTTGTGGGCACACTGGGTTGGATGAGAAGCATGCAAGTGGTAGCATGGGTAACTGGGTTCCCTTGAGAACTGACTGGTATTAACACTCCTGCCGTCGCATGGGGTATATAGTTCAGAGGGAAGTGAAAACGCATTACGTGGAGAAAGTAAAATAGTTGCTGTGCTCTGCTAAAGATCTCAGGAATTGCTGCGGAGGCTGAAATCTGCTCAAGGTTCTTTCTTGAACAATACAGAAGTGAGTTTTAACTCTCAATCTTCCAGGGCCTAAGTGCTTGAAAGGCTGCATGCCTGTACCTAATTTAAACTGAGGGTGCATCAACCTTCAGACTCCCTGGAATCGGGGCTGCTTCATGCTTGGTGTCTCTCGAAGTCAAAGGGAGGCTGCTATGTTCATCTGCTGGTGGTGGTTTTCCACAGTACTTAAAGTCTTGTGGACGTAGCTTAGTCCTGGAAAAGCTGCTCTGCTGAAAAGAGTTATTAAACTTACTCACTCAGAGGTGCTGCGTTTCTACAGTTAAGTGCTTGGCAAGTAACTGCAACTGTATGTTGAGGCTCTCTCTGTGTTTTAGTCTAAAGTTGGAGGAAGCAAACCTGCCGGTGGAGACTTTGGAGAAGTTCTCAACTCTGCTGCCAATGCCAGTGCCACAGAAACTATTGCAGAAGAGATGCAGGAGGAGACCCACTGAGATTCCTGCCTCTGTCCTGCTACCCACTGCCAGATGCTGCAAGCAAAAATTAAGCACACTTGTAACATTCTTTGCGCTCTTTCCACCAGATGTGCTTTTATTTAGCACATAGCTATTTTACCAGGTTAACTGATACCAAGCTTGTTTGCAAGTTTAAAATATTTTTGAAACTAAAATACATTGTTTGGGGTTTTTGTGTGGGAAGGGGAATTTTTATGCCTTTCACGCATTTAAAGGACTTATCTATAATTTGAAGGCAAACTTTAAAATATAGCAATGAGAAAAAAATCTTTTGAGAAGTTAATTATACTGTACATATACTGTGGATACATAATTTCTTTTAAATCTTTAACTACTGCTCAACTTAATCGTTATGAACGTACTGCTGCTGCCAAATTCAAGCTGGTTACTTCACTCCCTTGTGATTATTTCAGTTAAGTGTTGCCGGCTTGGGACACCAGACGAGGAGGATCACTCCCAACTAAAGAAAGGACTTCTGTTTCAGCAGGCTTTCAACAAGTCATCCATGGGAGGATGTCTTAAGAGTGTGTTCGTCATACAACAGATGTGGATAGAGTATAACATCTAAACCTTACTGATCGGTCTCTGGATTATCCACCTAGGAAAATGCTGACTGTTGCAAACAGAAGCAAGATACCTAGTAGTGCTGGTTTGATTCACTTAAAAAAACATGTATAAAAAACAAGACTGAAAATGTTAATGTGGTAAGATTACACTCTTCTGCGCTTTGGGTGAGTTGAGAATAGATTCAACTTAATACACACATGGTGGTGTCACATTTACACTGAGTAAGAAAAAGCCTGAGCAGGAAGGTGGTTCTTTTTTAGGCATCAGGATAATTGCTTCCAAATGTTAATGTTGCTTTCCCTTGTACGCAGACCATCGAAAACATCTGCTACATTTTTTTTTTTTTGTGTTAAAGGCCTTTACCATTAGGATCCCTGTTCCTGTTTAAGACCTCAGACGTCTATTTTGAGAGATGCACGGCGTCATACTGCAGCATAGCTCTCTTGCAAGATCTGTTCTCCTACATGTGGCTTTATCTGATGTATTCTTCCAATTTCTTGTATTTTGTGTGTTTCTGGCACATGATGTCAGTATGGTTACAGCTTTCGGCAAGTGTTCTTATCACCATGCTTAGAAGTGGAAACAAGTTTTGAAACGTGTGAAATCCATAAAACTTCAACCGCCACAGATGGCTGGAGGAAAAAAAGCTGGCTCCTGACAACCCTGCTAGCCTGTCTGATGTAGTGTATCTGCTTAATTACATGTGATAAGCTTAATAAAAATCTGTATGTCAGGAACGTATTGTTATGTGAATATGGAGGATTATATAGAAAAGCAAGACTTTTATTTCTGACTGAAACAGTCCCTCAAGGAGTGCTGAATAGTACTACTGCGTGAGGGGGATTCGGCATGAATGAGCAAGGCCTTCCCCAAGGAGTTGGGGCTAGGTTGACTTGTAGTGGCTCACACGGCACGAGGAGCGGGACCCGCACGGGAAGAAGGGCAGGGGGAGAGCCGAGCACCGCTCTGTCGGGTCCCGCTACCGTGGCGCCTGATCCGTGGTGCGGGGCTGCTTCCCTTACCCCTTAGCTGGGAACAGAAGGGTCACCGAGGCCAGAGCTGCGCTTGCCGGGCTGTGAAGGGAGTCGGGTGTTTCCGGGACTAA